TGGGGGCAGTTCTGGGCTCCCCAGTATAAGAGGGACGTGGAGCTTCTAGAGAGGGTCCAGCGGAGGGCAACCGAGATGATTAATGGACTGCAGCATCTCTTGTATGAGGAAAGACTAGAGCGAGCTGGGGCTGTTTAACCTGGAGAAGAGAAGACTGAGAGGGAACCTTATCAACATGTACAAATGCCTGAGGGTAGAATGTAGGGAGGAAGGGGCCAAACTCTTCTCAGTGGTGGCCAGTGACAGGATAAGGGTCAGTGGGTATAAGCTGAAACATAGAAAGTCCCATCTCCATGTGAGGAGGAACTTCTTTCCTGTGAGGGTGCCAGACTCCTAGCACAGGCTGCCCAGGGAGGCTGTGGAGTCTCCTCCGGAGGTCTTCCCAACCCACCTGGATGCCGCTCTGTGCCCCTGCTGGAGCACGGGGGGTTGGACTAAATGATCTCTTGAGGGCCCTTCCAACCTAAACGATTCTATGATTCTGTGATTGTGTGATTCTGTGATACCCTGATTCCAGGGATATCCTGGAATATGATCAGGGATACCCCAGAATATGATCAGGGAATAAGTGCATACCAGGCCATATGCGTGTGGACAGCTTTTGGGGGCAATAGAGGAAATTTTAGCTGTATGCATGGAATGCACCCTGTGTCACTTGGCCATAGGACTGGAGATTAGCCCCTGGCCTGTCTTATTTGGTAGAATAGGGATGGCCTAAGTGTTCCTTTGTAGACCTCTTGGAGAAAATCAGCACTGAATTGCCCTGAATATGCTGATTATATCTGCAGGTCTTCATTAAGACAATAAATATACTCAAATCTTGTACGTCTGGACTTAAGCTGCTTGGCAGCAATGGTGAGGAAAGGCTCCTCTCTGAACAACACTATCCCAATTGTGTTTTGTGGGTGGAGGGTTGTCTTCCTCTGAAGCACTGGACATAAGTACTGTGGTTTGTTCACAAAATGAACAGGGTCAAGGTGTTCCACAAACTTACAAGAGGAGAGGAATTTTCTTCCAAATCAGGGAAATTCCCAGCCTCCTTCAGAGCACAGGGTTTTCTGATAGGATCATCTGGAGAGGATCCGCTGCACCATCACTGCAGGTTAAAGAAGAAACCTGCCCCTGCCTGGCAAGTCCACTAAAGTCAACCTTAGTTTCTCCTGTTCTTGGAGTACTACATGCAAATCTCAGTCCACAGCGGGATAACTCCTACTGTGACAATCTGTTTAAGACGAGTAACAAGGGTGCTGGGCTGACTCGCTAAAGCAGTGTCTATATAACAATAGCACATGGCATACAGTGACCATAATCTATTGACCCACAGTGGTCTTAGGTGCTGAAACGATGGAAGTCTGTGAAACTTCCTTATAGATATATCACAAAAGTACTTGAAACATTAGTTCCAAAAAGCATCCTGAATAGACGTGGCAGATATCTTACTTGTCATATAAACAAATCCAGTGTTGCATATATAAAAGAGGCAGACCACACATTGTAAAGAAGCAGCAATTTGCAGATTTGATTTCTGTGGGCAAATGCTTTCCACCAACTTTGGGCGAATTGTTTGGTTGGAYGAATGGTTCCCACACATGGGAAAACTTCCTACAGCACTGAATTTTATGTTCTTTAAAAAACATGGGGTAAGGTTGAGCTATCCCATTCAACCTGCATTTGAAACAATTTCATCTTAACTTGCGTGGACAGGCACGATTTCAATGAACGCATGTCAACTTTCCCTAGCTGCTGCATGTAAGCAGAGACCAAGGAGGGTCTTTTGTAGTTTTTTATTTTTCACTGGTGGTCTTGGAAACTAAGAAGCAAAGAGAACACATCTCAGAACTTTTATTGACTTTGCCATGATCCAGAATAGTTGGATTGTTGGATTTCCTTAGTACCTACCTAACGGCATGGCTCAGTATGTGCTCAAGCTATGTCACCCCCTACCTCTCCCTTTGCATGAAATSCCTGGGCTGATTTGAAGTCGCAGAGAAAGGGGTTACCCCGTGCACAGATTGTGTGCGCCAGAGTTCTGGCATCATGTGAAAGTCAAACAAATTGCTGGGATCCCAACGTTGGACATTCATGTAGGGAGACACATGGGGGCACCACTGGGTGGGGGGAAGGCCTGCAGCTACAGGCCGCTGCTGCTGCTGCTGGAAATCTGTGCCTAGTGGCACCCACCTCAAGGCAGCCGTGTGCCCGGACCCCTTGCTTGTGCCATAGCTGCCGTCTCCCTGCGCGCACCCGCGATGGAGCAGGCATGGACGGGGAGGGCGCAGCGCGCACCAGAATGACACTCATGTACTCTTAAAAAGGTTTGTTACATCTGCTTTAARCAGGCTTAAAAACTCTGTTTATAATTTTATCATTTTGCAAAATAATAACGGCTCTATTCATACTGCATGTTTCAATGATAGGATACCTTGAATCTCTGAGGTTTGTTTTTAGCAAAACGTATTAACACAATATGACAAAAAAACCCTCCAGCTATTAAAGAATTAATGGTAACTAACTTTTCCTTGTTTTCTTATTATATGCTATATTATATTATTCTTATTATATGTTCTAGGCTGCAACTTTTCAAAATGAGATAAAATTGTCTAAATCCCATTAAACAGTTCAGAGATTCTTTTAAATGSAAAATTAATAAGCCATATTCAAATATCAACATGCTACTTCAGAAAGTACCTTGCTAGACTGTTCCTAGTAAAAAATACTCTCAGTTGGTGGAGAGAAAACCTAAAAGAAACAAGATGAGAGCTAGGTTCTAAACTTGTATGTAAATACATAAAGTCATAAAATTCATACAGGGAATAGCAGGCTGAGAACAGTTCTATTGATATTGACTTGGTTTTATAAAATCAACACATGCTGAATAAATAAACACCAAGCAGCCATTGCAACAAGGCCAGATCTTATTGGGGGATTTACTGGCAAAAAATAAATAATAAATATATAAAACACAGGTCTATTATTCTCTCTTTTTCTGCACAGAGGGGGCTCCACTGGTCTATGACGTGCTATTTTGGACGTTACACTTCAATAAAATACATACAAATTCAAGAGTATCTTGAGAAGAGCAACAAGTCTGGTAAAGTTTGGTAAAATATGATAATTTGAATCAAAGGGAAACATCTTAGAACACGGTATCTCATGCTAACTTTATATATACATGCGAAAGATTGTCATAAACAGGGTAACCATCAGCTGTCCTCCATAGTCTAAAGAGAGAGAGACAATTTTCAATTGGTTGAATTTGCAGAATGGGAGGTTTGGGCAAAAACAGGTTAATCAGCACAACAGGTTGCCTGAAGAGGTAATATGCTCCTCACTTGAGGTTTTTAAAAGCAGTGTAGAAAACCCTGTTAGATATGATATAAAATATACTTAATCCTGCTTCAGTAAGAGCAGATGCCTAATAGAAGGCCCCTTGAGATGCTACATTATATGATTGCACTTGTGCACTAAAGTCTGCCTGATGGAACATCCTGTTGAGGCTTTCTGCATATTTAACGCCTTCTTCGGCTTTTCTTCTCCCATTTAATGAAGATTAAAAAAAAAGAGAATGTGCAGAGAAAGGCGTTTATTGTTGTTTATTTTCCTTCATGGAACTGCAATTCACCAAGACCAGAACCGTAAGGAGAGAAGTTCAAAGATGCTGCTCCTGCTGCCTCTGGTAGCCTGAGGACTACAGTGGGATGAGCTGGAGCACCAGCGGCTTCTTCTTTTTTATTTTTCCTTTTTCCAAGTCACTCTTCCCCTCCTACCAACTCGAGGAGGGTGCTCATCATATTGGGTTCTTCTTAGCAGCAGCTTCACTTAGGCTCTAGCTGATCTTTGCAGTTATTGCATTTATTATTWTATTTCCCTTTCCAAGTAGAGCAATATTAGCATGCTTCTCTGCTTGGCTATGTTCAAACACTTTTATTCATGGGGTTGCCTCGAACAACCAGGTTAGAACTGGTTTCCAACTGCCCTTAAAATATTAACTCATCACTCCATGAATTATTTTTTTTAAATATATCTTTTTGTTTTTCTTTCCGCCTCAGAATGCCGAAGGAAGTGCAACTCTGGGATAACAAGTCCAAAAGCTTACTTTCTTGCTCAAAATGCAACACAGCTTGCATTAACACAAACCTCAAAGTTCACTGATTCTTCTTGCAGAAGACTTCAGGCATAGCTCAAAGCAACTTAATTTCAATTGAAATGCAGATGCTTTCTGATTCCCCCCACAATAAATTGTGATTCTACAGCAGGTTGYATCCATTCAGACTAGGGGTCCGCGGCCTCGCTCCTGGCCATGCTTTACCATCCACCTCTTTCTTAAGGGACTGGCTCTCCGGAGAGCCTCCTGCACAGGGAGCCAGACCACCTGGAGTGAGGTGGGGATTTCCTATGGTCAGGGAAGGATTTAGCTCCTGTGGATCCCAAACCCTCACATGGGGTGAGGGCACCGCGGTGGCTGTGCTACGATGAGGGGCCCAGGTTTTGGGAGCTTTGCCCAGTCAAGGGGCAGCATRTGCTGGATTTTCCAAAGAGAAACCAGGAAGCAGCGGGTTATTTTGTTTTTATTTGTTTTTATTTATTTTTTATTTTAATTATTTTTCCTCAGGGTTATCCGCCAATCCCTGAGGGCTCCTGCAGCAGGATGCGGGTAGCAGCAGCAGGCACTGCGGGCCCACGAAAGCAAAGCGCTCTTTTCGCCAGAGAACATAACTTCGGGGGCGAAAACTACTCGGGAATTTGGGTCCAAATCTGGGCAGAAGGCGCAAACAGCGCGTTCTTCTCCAGGCACTGCCCACGCCCCGGGGCTCGGGCAAGAAACAGGGCGCGACAAGGGCAGGACGAGCACTCGGGGCGGCGGCGCAGGCCGCAGCCGCGGGCCGGGGCGGAGCGGCCCGGCCGGGGCGGAGCGGCGCGGAGCGGAGCGGGCCGGGGCGGCACCGCAGCGCCCCTCGGCGAGCAGCAGCCGCCGCCGCCGCGGCGGGAGAGGGCACGGGCTGCGCGGCGGAGGCGCCTCGCGGAGCGGCTGCGCCCGAGGTAAGCGAGACCTTCCCCCGCCCCCCCCCCCCCCCCCGCCGCCATCCCGCAACGGCCGCGGCCCCGCGCGGCCCCTCCCCCCCACCGCCGCCCGCGGCCGTTGGCGCCGCGCGAGCGGCCGTTGGCGGCGCCGGGCGGGCGCCGCTCCGCAGCCGAGTTTGCCGCCCCCCTCGCCTTCATTTTTTTCCTCCCCCCCTCTTTATTTATTTTTTTCCCGCCCGGGAAGGTGCGGCGGGTGCCGCTCCCTGCGCGTGGTTCCCCGCGGGGGTTGTGTGAAGTCAGCGCTTAGCRGCGTGCGGGGGAGCCGCGCTTATAACTTTGTTACTTCGGGGAAGGAAACGCTCCCCGGGGCCTCGGCTTCCCTTCCTTCACCCCCCAGTGGCCCCATCAGTAGCGAGGGGCCGGGGCCTCCCGCTCCTGACCCGTGTAGAAAACACCAGGCAACAAGAAAGCCTTCTTTTTCCCCCTAAAAAGAGGGGGGAAAATATGGCACTCTCTTCCTAACCAGGTACTTCCTTCACACCACCAGTGAAGGTGAACGTGAGGGAAAAGCGGAAGAAAAGTGGTAGCGTGAACACAGCCTAAGAAATTCGGGTTTCTGGTTCATTTCTGGAATGAAATGCTCATCTTTCATCCAGGAGCAGTTTTGTTTACATACATATGCATGTGCACACACACGTGTGCATGCACACACACACGTTTCTTGATGGATGACACTGTTGCCTATAGGTTTCTGTTTCCAAATGCGTTGTTTCCCTTTTGGAAATAACAACTGTTATATTTGGAAATAACAACTGTTTCCCTTTTGGAAATAGTTGTACCTCTGAGCAGGTGTGCAAATAACAGTAGGATTTTTCTGTATGTGTGTTTGAAACAACTCCTATTTAATTCATCTATAGAGGAAATCCACATAGGATTAATATTCTTAAGTAATGGCATCAAACTGATACGTCTTCTTCAGGCTTTTTTTTTTTTTTTTTTTTTTTAAGCAGTGCAGACTTGTCGATAGTAGTGGAGTGTAATTAATTTTAAATGTGGGGCTTGGCCTCCTGCTTGTGGCTTCAGCATGGTGTTCATGCGGTGGTGAACGTGCACGGAGGTAGGTAGCCATCTGTCTTCCCCTTCCCCTGTGTGCGTGTGCGCATACTGCAGCGCGGAAACGTTCCCAAACAACAAAAGYGCTTGTAGTTAGGCTTGAGGGACAAATATGCATTTAAACACTGCCGGGAAACGCTCTAAGTTGCTCTCCAGGGCTAAAGGACAGTTGTGGTTTTGCTCCCGACACATTTTTGAGTGTGTTTCAAAAAAGCAATGTGTTGCCTTGGGATCGGCGCTGCCAGTTGGTAGCTTGCAACGCAAATTTGGTGTTGACTCTTCGCATGCACACAACACAGCTGATATTGCTGTGGGAAAGCATGTAATTCTTCCTAGTATGGACAAGGACCTTTTGTGTGGTGTCAAATACGTGTGGTTTTGGTGAGTGTATGAACCCCTGATAGAAAGCTGCAGCTCCTGTGTGCTAAGGTGGGCTGGGGTGCTAGCTGCTGCTCTGCTTACTGGAAAGCTAAGGTTGTGTCAGGAGTTTTGTTGCTGGTGTTGCACRTGGGGCCACGTCAGGCCTCGGCACTCGCTGCGGTTGCTGGTATGTGCCGTGGCCTACTTGGGTTCTGCAGGCAGGTGATGTTTGAAATAGTCGTGGACCACAGGACTGAGCTGCGCTGGTCTCTCTGAAGTGACCTGCAGGAGGAGGCTATGGAGTACTGTGGAACTCCATACTTGTTTTTGCTTTCTGTAGCTTGAGAGTTAGGCTGCCTGCTCATAGTGTCTTTGTGATCATTGGAAGACTGGAACTTCTGCACTGTGCGGGTACAGTGGAGGCCTGCATGGCATGAGTCACTTCAATGTCCTTCTGTAACTCATCTCCTGTATGGTTTTCAGTCTTCACTCTGAAGAAATGGTCTGTTTTTAGGCCTGAGCAAACCCGCCAAAATCACCAGTCTTTGGCAATGATRTGTTTGGGATTGTGGTGCTGAAATCTTCGTTTAAGCATCATTTTCTTAAATTTGTTTTTTTTTGCAGAATAACAGTTGTGCAAAGATTAAAAATAAAGTCTACTTGCTGTTAACACTTGGTGGGGGAATTTTTCATCTCTTCTATTACATCTGCTCTGCAGTTTCATTCCTGATTGCCTAGTTGCTAGAACTGTAGTGCTCAATACTAAATAAATTAATGTTTTTACTGTGTGTTATCTAAACTAGGGGTTCCTAAACTGYTGTAGATGAACTATAGCAAAAGTGGCAAGTTAGTTCTTCCACCAGTGACACGCCAAGTGCTGGAGGTCTGGAAACCTCCTTGGTCATGCGTCTTAGCTTAAAAGATGAATTGCAAGGTAGTGAAAAAGATCTGTTAACAGCTTACGGCAGTAAGAAGTGTTGGGCAAGCATAGTAAATTGGTATTTCTGCTGCTGCCTGATGGTCTTAGATGTTTTGCATCCTCTAGGCAGATTTTAGAAGTTCAGTAACAGGGTATGATAATGTCACTCCTTACGCTGCTGAGTAAAATCATACAGTCTGATTTCTTTAGGTCTGACTGGTTCTCATTGACACTAATTCTGTGCTAGGTGAATGCAGCCTGCTTGTATATGCTCCTCTCTTTGACTTTTGAGAGCCACCAGCCAGTCTTATTTTGGTACTGCTGAAATCTTACAAGTGGAATATTTCAGAATTTGGTTCAGCCTGTGTATAGAAACAAGGAACCATGATCCCAATTGAACCTGTTACCAAAGATGGTATTTTAATACCATCAGTTTTCATGGTAGAAATCTGTCTTCAGAGGGCTCAATCAAGTCTTGCAATCACATTTACTTTTCTTGACTAATAGCTTATTATTTGCTTTCTGCTTCTGAAGTATTCAGGACAGATGTGAACATGGTGTCTTAGTCTTTGCAAAACTGTAAAGTAACTTATTTGGATTTTAGATCTCACTGCTATTTTTCCTCATGGCCCTCTATCATATTTCAGTCTTTTTCTTCCTACTCCTTTCCAAATGACTTCTACCAGTTTGCTGGAGCTTTGCTGGATCACTTTTCCCCAGGTGAATTATTATTCATTTTCTCTTAGACACCCAGGAAAGAAAATGCCTGATGGATTTTTTTTTTTTTATTACCTTTCTTCAATAATCTCCCACGTTCATTTGCAACTTTATGTAAGTAGAGCTAGTTAGAAAGTGTTCATTAAAATGCCACTGAAGTGAAAGACAGAAAAAAAAAGTTGATCAAAAATACCTKTCATTTTCTAGTCACTCATTTCAGGTGGATAAGCCTTTAAAAATAAAAACAATCTCGTTTTTCTAGTGATGATATTTTCCCTGCACTTTTTGTATAGTCTGGATTGTTGTTGTTGGATTCTTTGTGATAACTGGATTTGCCACCATTGATTTGCTTAAGACTTCAAATAATATTGAAGCACTTACTAAATTTGGAATAAAAGTGTACTTGTTTAAAGCTTGAACAAATACAAGTATGAAGGAAGAGTAGATCTCTTCAAAGAGCTTAAAGTGGTGAACAGTTCAACAGTTTCCACATCTCTATCCCAGACTCCTGCACTACCATGGACTTGTGTTCAGTAACAGAAGAAAATGATGGTGCTCAGGGGTTATTCCTCAGTGCAGCCCTACATAGTCCTTCTGTTGCCCTGGGCATGGGCCCTGGAAGGTTTTAAGATAGTAAGCAGGTTCTTAAACAGTGTGAGCATGTGGTTTGGAAGATGGAAGGACAGGTTACCGTGTAACTGAGGCATGTTCTGAGTTAATAAAATTTCCTAAAGTGGAAGGCTTCATGCAATATATTATAAGTCACTCTTTGCCTAGGTACGAACTGAGAGGGCAGCATTGTCATTGAGCAATGCTTCCAGTATGAGAGTATAATGCCAGTGTAAAGTCCAGGAATACTTTTGACCTATGATCAGCTGCGATCACATATCTTAAAGCAACAAAACCAGAGGCTGTCTGTGGCTGCAGCCCCTCTGAAGTGTTTTCCTGCTGCTCACTGGTGATTTTTAGAGTTAGGTTTAACATATACTGCTCCTCTACAGCGGGTCATTTTGATGGTGCTCTAGTTATTTGTGGTGGAGGATAAATAGGACTACTGTTTAGTGAGAAAATTTTCCTCTGTGAGGTTGAGGCTGATGTTGGATAGTAGTGTAGACAGAATTGGGCTTTGTAGGTCTCCACAAGACGAGGGTAAGGCCACATCTGGAGTGCTGTCTCCAGTTCTGGGCTCCCCAGKACAAGAGGSWTGTGGAGCTGCTGGAGAGAGTCCAGCGCAGGGCTACMAGGATGATCAGAGGCCTGGAACATCTGCCCTRTGAGCAAAGGCTGAGGGAGCTGGGYCTGTTCAKCCTGGAGAAGAGRAGGCTGAGGGGRGWCCTGATCWGYGTGTATAAATACCTCAAGGGAGGGAGTGAGAAGGAGGGAGCTGACCTCTTTTCAGTGGTGGCCAGCGATAAGACTAGAGGAAACAACTGCAAACTGAAGCACTGAAAGTTCCACAAGAACGTAAGGAAAAATTTCTTAACAGTGAGGGTGCCAGAGCCCTGCCAGGCTGCCCGGAGAGGTTGTGGAATCTTCTTCTCTGGAGATCTTCCAAACCTGCCTGGATGCTGCCCTGTGCCACGTGGTCTAGATAACCCTGCGTGTGCACGGGGGTTGGACTAGATGACCTCTGGAGGTCCCTTCCAACCTTAATRTTTCTGTGATTTTATGACTTTGCTGTTAGTTTGTTCAGATTTTTGTAGGCCGTCGTGAAATTTCTTCCTACAATGTTGAATAGTGTCACAAGGAGATGAAGGAGATGGAGTATGTATCAGCCCACTATGCTCTGGCAGGAGATCATTTAAAGCATCTTGGGGGCAATGTCCTTTTTAATTTGGTGTCCCTAGTCTATAGCATAGAGTGCAGTGAAGGCAGCCTACAGCTGGCTTTGCTGCTGAGCTTTCTAAGG